GGACGCGCGCCGCGGGGTCCGCCGCTCTGCGCTCTGGGCCGCCGGCCGGTTGGAGCGCCTGCACACTCGCCCGGCTGGGAGAACTCGAGAAACTCGGGACACCCCCAAGCACTTTCCCCAGAGCCGGGAAGCGCCCGTTGCTGGCCCAGCTCCATGGCCTTGGAAGTGGGGCCCCCTGACTCCAGGTTCGGGCTCCGGCCCAGGATAGAGTGCCCACCCCAAGGGGTGGGAAAAGTTGATCCTCTGAAAGTGAGAGGAAGGTGCAGTTGATTTTCCCAGACAACCAATGGAATACCTCTCGTCTCTCTTCCCTCCCACCTGCTCAAGGCAGAAGTTAGGATGGCGCCTTCCATCTTGGCCTGTGTGCATTCGCACGGGTGGCAGGATGGCAAGGCTGCGGCTGGGGCGGGGACAGCAGGGGCAGCCTGTTCCTTGGCTTTTGCGCCCCAGACCGCTCCCTCGCGAGTAAGACACCGCGCGTCTCGGTAAACGCAGGAAAGCCGCCTTCAACAGAGCGCCCCGCGCACTCTACAGGGAACCCCTCATTCTGATTAGCCGGGGGCCCCACCCGAGCAGGAGCTAGGCAAGTGTGTTCAGCTTGAGCGGCAGAAGAGTCGCTAATTTCACACATGCAGCCTGGGTTTCCTCCCGGAGCCAAGGGAGGAGACCGCTATGCGCGAGATGGGCTCCTGCCAGGCAAGATTTGCAGGATTCCTCATTTAGGCAGGACCTGGACACGGAGTCCCCCTGTGAGCAACGCAGAGGGCTAGCGCCTAGCGGGTAGCGCTGCGGACTGCGCAGTACCTTCCAGTGGGGAAAGGACAGGCGCTCTGAGCGCATCTGCATCTGGGATTGCAGGTGGAGTGGGAGGCGCAGGCTGTTCTGGTGGACAGAACAGCCAGGCAACAGATCGGTCTGCAAATGTCACTTAAGAACAGTGCTGTGGCCTGACTGTGCAGTGGCAAGGCCCCCAGGGACCAACTTTACCCGTGCTGCCCCTGGGAGATGTCCCTAATACCCACCATGAACGACAGCTCTCATCTGGCCAAATTTCTCCTACCCCACTGAAGCAACTCCTCCTGCTCAATTTGTCCTGGGAGCCTGGACCGGTAACTGGCTGCTAAAGCCCAGAGGAGGACCTTCGGTTTCAGCCCTAGCCCTCTTCACTGTGTGACCTTGAGCAAGGTTTGGAAACTCCTGAACTTCATCTTCCTTATCTACAAAGACAACGTGTGTTATTAGTCCTTGTCAGGATTAAATGAGCCAATGATTGTAAGGTACAGGGTTCAGGGGGAAGCTGCCAATACAGTAACCGGGTGGTCGGGCACCTGCAGTACCCCCAGACCCTGAGCTTGTCTCTTTAAGCAAGTGTATTGTGCACAGGGTCAGGGTCCCTGAAAGGCATAGCTACTGAAGCAGTAGCAATGGGGTCAAGGGCCCGAGGTCCTTAACTTCTCTAAGCCTGTTTCTCCATCTATAAGTTGGTGGTGATAATAGAAGCTTCCTCATGGGATTGTTTGTGGTAGGGCAGATCACACACAGAAGAGCTTGCCACGTACTGGACAGAGAAGGTCTACCTACCAAAGTGGCATTGCCATGGGAGTGTCCTGCAAAGAGCCAGACTCAGATATGGCTCCCTATTCAACATCCCCCCACTGCCCAAGCAGGTGGAGCTGCAGGTGCTCAGGTTGTAACCTGGGGCCTGAGGCTAGACACTGTGGGGTCAGAGGAGACTTAAACCCAATGTGAAAGCCTTTGGAGATGACAGTAGAAACACAGTAGAAGGGAAAACATAGTTGGGAATAGAAATGTGCTAGTTTTTTTTTTTCATTTTATATCTAAAGTCATTTTGTTTTATTTATGAATGATATATATTGCCATTTCATAGAATATTAAATATAGTTTATTCAGGCAATAATTACTAAATTACCAAGTTTTCTTCTTTTTTTTTTTTGAGAGAGATTTTTGTGATAGGGTGCGTGCACTCACTGGAGAGACAGGGAGAGATAAGAGAGACAGAAAGTGAGAAATCCACTGAGGGAATGGCCACACCACGAGTTTTAAGCTGGGACTCAAACCACAGTCGACTACGTGGGAGTCCAGAGATGTAACCATTATGCCATCTGCTTGTCCCACCAAGTTTTCTTTCCAGACTGAATCCATAGAACAAAGATCACCTACAGAATGAATTGAAACCACTTATTTAGAGTCGCTGTGGTACAAGCTGGGCACTTTGGGACTGGGAGGGAGTTTAATGGACAGTGAGATTTACAAAGTAAAGGCGTGACCGAGGTGATGCGATGTGGCGACGTTTTCTTACTAGCTGTGTGTGTCAGGGCAAGTTACTGCACCTCTCTGAACTTCAGCTTCTCTGCAGCACACCTCCTTCCTAATGGTGTTGAGAGACAGGGGAAATTAAGTGAAATAATGTATGTAAGTGATTATTGTCATTGTATTCTTTTTCAGTTTGAAAAATCTGGTAAATACCAATGAACCCGGTATTTTATTCTTCAGTGGTAGGAAGCAGTACGAATATATTTAAATAAGACAAAAGGTTTTTCTGTTTTAAAAAAGTTCTGTTACTTTTGTGTAGTGTTTTAATGAAAGAGAAATTGTGGTTCCCTTTGAGAAGGACCCTGAGCACGAGTGTGGATGAGACTGTGGCAACAGTGACTCAGCCGCTTCAGTTTCTTTTTCCCAGTTTTCAGAATCTCCAGCCTCTGCTTCTTCTGTTTTGAAAACCAACAGTGGCTGGCCAGGGACAAGGGCCCTGGTTCTTTTCCTGGGGCTCCCTCCTTAGTTTGGCTCTTCTTGGGCAAGGACCATGCTCCCACGTACTGCTGGAGGTAAAGGTGAGGGAGGGGAGAAGCAGAGGACCTCGTGCTGAGCCTGGGTGGGGAGGCCTGAAGGACAGTCCTCAGTTTTCCGTGACATAGATGCCGTAAAAGCCTCTCTGTAAAAACCCATAGCAGTCCCTGGTTCTGAAATCCACAGAAATTCCTTAGCAATACTGACCATTCTCATCTCTGCTCCACGGTTTGGAATCAACGATGTGCCATGGCCACATCCAAATTCTTCCCACTTCTTCGTCATTCTTTCCCTTTTTTCCTTGGATGTTCATAAGGCATATGCACCTAGACTCGCAAAAAAACTGAATTTTTGTAAGGATCATTTGGTTAAAAGAGATTAAAAACACACTGAGTCCAATACAGTGATTTGGAGAAGACAGATTTACATATAAAGCTTTCTGATGAACAGTTTCTCAAAATGTTTTGGGTACACAAAGGAATAGTAGATCATTTGACCTGAATAGATCAGAAAAAAGAGCAACAGGGAGGTGTGCGTCATCTCTTCATTGATTTTACTGGATAGGAGCGAGGTTCAAACACTCTTCCTAGAGGTGTAAACTCTTCTGGGGGCACATATTCACTCATTTATCTCCAAGGAAATATTTATTGAGAACCTACCATTGCCAGTGGTGTTAGAGACTCAGGGTGTTAGAATAAAACATAAGGCATGGGGCCAGCAGGTGAAGTGATGGTTAAAGCACTGGACTCCCACGTGATTGACCATAGTTCAAGTCCTGGACCTGGTAGCTTGAAAATCACACTGGGCATATGTGTGTGTATGCCCAAAATCCCAGGAGGAGAATGGAGAAGAAGGGATTGTGGCATAATCACTCCCCCTGAGGGGTAATTTCTCTTTAACTCTTTTTGTTTCTGTCTCTCCAGTGAGCACATGCACCCTATGGCAAAAGCCTTAAAAAAAAAAAAAAAAGGTATGGTCTTGTCCCTTAAAGGGCTTACAGTCAAGTGAAGGAGATGAACAACTGAATCATTCTATTTTGGTAGAAACTGTCATGATGCACTCAGACACACAGGATGGCACTAAGCAGTTGCTTAAGGTGGGGAAGCTTGACAAGGACATGCAGAGGAGAGAACAGAAGATGGAACGCAAGGAGATGCAGGGAGAGTCTGCTCTTCTCTACATCCAGGAAGGGATTCCTTAAAAACATCTCTCATAGAAAATTGACCAAAGGCTAATAGCAATATAGTACCAACCAGCCCCCATGAGCCCTAGCTCTGTGACAGGTGTTTCCAGGCATTGGCTCCCATCTGATGCCAAAGCAAGGCCATCATGGCTGTCCCAATTTTATGTGAGGACACTGAAGATTGGAGGGGTGACTCTGAGGGTGCCAGTAGAAATCCAAGAGCCTAGTAGTTAGGTGGTAGATTATGGAGCTAAACTATTGGGCTAGGTATTTCTCCAGGTTACTTACTAGGCCTCTCTATTCTATAAAATGGGAATAATAATAATAATAATTACTAAATTATCATCCTCATCATCATTATAACAAACAGCAGTAATACCTTA